AGTGCCGTCCTTTGAAATAAATTCTTCTGGGGGAGGAGCAGGTGTCCACATAGTAGTTGGGATTGGCGCTGGCCCCTCAGAACGCTCCAATGGTTCCCTACTCCACGCTGGCGTGGTGTATTTATTTTGCTACAAATATATCCATATGATGGAGCAGATAGGGGATAAAATTATGAAAACTTCTTAGACATAAGCAAGCCTTTAAGGAATGAGTAGCTGGCCTTAGGGAGTCAAGCCCAGACTCTTGGGGGACAAGTGTTATAGCAGTTCCCAAAGACAATGTTCTATGCTCTACTTTGGCGGGTTGCAACTGCATTTTGAGAACTCGTGAGCAGCCATCTTATGTGCAAATATTGGTCTCTCCCCATCCAGAGGAAAGACCAATGAAAATCAAAAGACATATGGAAACAATTGGCCCAAAGGACTAATGGACCATGCAAACATCAGTCTTTGAGAGCCAAACTTGGATACCACTACCCACTGCTTTGGAAAGGAGCACATTAAGAGGTCCTGGATAGAGACTAGGCTTATTGGTTGGATTGGGATCACCAGACAATGGCTCCTGCCCTTAAGGTGGGGCGCTTAACTCTCATCTGTGTTAGAAGAATCAAACATTTAAGATGAAAAGGGTAGCATTTACCCAACAACAAAGTTCAGAGAATAGAGAAAGAAGGGAGATAAGCCATGGTACATTGAAGGGATTGCAATGAGTTGAATCAGAATGTGTATGAAATGTTGAATGATCTATTAAAGACGTTTCTTTAAAAAATTAAGAAAAAGAAAGGCTTTCCCCAAGTTTCTGTAACAGTTTGTACTTTATTACATATACAACCCCACCATACCTGCCAGCACGACCCACCCTCCCTCCAATGTCATTATCTTCATGTTACCAGTTCCTCCTTAAAGACATCGAGTCACACTTTTTCCTTTGAGGGGTGTAGATGAAGTTCTTCAAGCAGGCATGGGGCAAGAGGCAATCTACAGTTCATCACTGAATTCTTCAAAGTATTTACAGTTAAATAAGCACCACTGGGCTATTCTAAAGGGTATTCAGGGGGAGGTTACCTGATAGGCTACCCCTCATTCAAGATACCGGTTGGGATGAACTAAGAGCTGGTGTCTATCTTGAATCTCAGAGAGAAAGAGTGCACACTTTGGTATTTAATGTGGCTGAGGCATGTCCTCCCCAAACTTGTTTTGGTAAACTGTGTTCTTCACATCAATGAGAGTCTGGAGAGGAGGCAAGAATGAGGAAGATAAGAGCGAGTGAGGACCCTGTACTTCAGCCATGACACTACCCTCACTTCGGCCCTCTAACACTGTCCCCTGGATTATCTCATAGCCCCAACACCATACTAACTCTCTGCCATCAAGTTGATTCTGACATAGACACACAAAATGATCACATGTGACAGCCAAGCAGAGGGGTCCCCAGTCTACTCTTCCACAATCAGAAACGGTATTGGGAGAGGAGTTAGGTGTGCATGCATTGAAGTGTCTGTTCAGGGCACACCTGGTGGTGGACATAGGCCTGGCAGTGGTAACACCAGGTGGACATGTCGACGAAGCTGAGGACTAGCGGGTGGCCTGTTTCTTCATGGTGACGGATCATATGGGCCTTGACATAACGACTGCAGCAGACCTAAAGTTGAGAGGTGAGTTTTGGGCAGAGTGGGCAGTACCCACCTGCCATCTTCTTCCTGGGTTAACAACCTCTACTCCAGCCCCTGACTCTCCATACCTGATAGCAAGACAGACACACCCAATTCTCCTGGAGGGTTCCACAGACCCCACAAGGTTGGGTCACATCCAGGCCTGTTGCTGGTATGGGGCATACTTCCGTCAAATGGGGACACCAGGGCAATGGTGTCACAGCCCAAAATGTGGCCTTGGGTGGATGACAATAAATAAGATGGGGCCCAATCTCTCCAACCCGGAGATACAATTGGGCAATTGAAGGAAGCAATCATCTCAGCTTCTCCCCGAGCTCACCTCGTCGCTGTCCTCAAAGCCCACCACAATGGAATCATCCAGGTCCTGACCTCCAGCTGCCTCTCCTAGTAGCTTCTCTTCTTCTGGGATTGGAGAAGCTGGGGCCTCCTGAACACACAGAAGTAAAGGAGGAATCAGAGAGGTCTGATTACTGTCCCCTCTTCCCTGTACCTGGATGTGGAGGGCCTTACCTCAGCCTTCTGGCTTAAGTCCAAGGTTCCGAGACTCTCGTCCTGGTGACTAGGGGATCCGTGAGGAGTGGTTCCCTGCACAGTTGAAGACTGTGGAGTCTGGCTGTCAGTACAAGAAGTTAACGTGGTGTCCCCAAGAGTCTCCACTGAAGGGGTCTGGTTCAGCACGGTCTCACTGGTGGCTGCCTCCAGGGACTGGTCTTGAGTGAGTTTGGCCACAGTTGTGTTTGACTTAGCTTGGCCTGGAGTGGACTCTTCCACAGCTGATGCTAAGGTAGCTTCCTTCATGTCTGCTTCCTGAATGTTTGCTTTTGGTGTGGCCATCCCCTTGGCTGATGTGGGAATGGCTGGCTGCTGTTTCTTCTTGGTGATCAACTCAGAATTGGAGGGTTCCTCCTCCTTGACTTCTACCCCTAGAATGGTGGTTAGGAGGTCTTTGAGTTAGGGTGCTACTCCCCTTTTCTGCCCCTAATCGCTATTCCTTCCTGAATCCCTCATTGCCCCCAAGTCTCTAAGCCTACTCACTTTTGATCTGCACACTGCGCCAGTATCTGTGATGGATGTAGACGGTCTCTGAGATTGAGACCAGGGCCCTTGATAGCGGGGGTCGCATACGGGCCAGCAGGGGTGGTGCATCCCCAAGGAGGGTGCGGGTACAAGCTGCCATGGACTCCGAGATGGACGTCAGATTATAGCCACCCTGGGTTAAGGAAAAAGAGGGAAACTCCTCAGGGAATTTGTGGGTAAGATACCCTGCATGGGCAAAACAATAGTTAGGTGGGGACCACCACTGTCAGGATTCAAAAGAAATGCAAAAATGATGCTCAATAGAAGATTTTAGGAAATTGCTCTGAGATGCAGCTAGCTAAACCCAAAGGGCAGGATTCTGAGCCTTCCAAACTACCCTCCCACAGTGGGAAGTGGGATGGTAAAGTTACCTCGAGGATTAGGATAATGCGGCCATTGGCAAGGCCCATCAGCAGATGGGTGAGGTGAGCATAGCCATCAGGGGATACCTGGCAGCCCCCCAAGGGGTCTCCACGGGCGGCATCAAAGCCAGCTGAGACTAGCACCAGTTCTGGGTTAAACTGAGTGAGGCAAACAGAGAAGATATGAATGGACACACACAGGTAAGGTCACAGAGATAACAACATATAGTGACACACAATGTTCTTCTCATTGCACACAGAAAAAGTGGTGATGAAAAGCCACCCACACACACATGCTCAGGCCCTTCCCTCTCTCGCCCACAGTCACACTGAGCTAGCTGTTACACACAGCCATGTTCACACAGGGAAAAGCACACAGCGACTCATGGTGGTATACACAGTACGCACATGTAGTCACATACAAAACACACACACACACACACACACACACACAGCAGCCACAGCAGCCACCATGGGCTCTTGTGTATGATCAGGCATCTGGAAGTCAGATACATACACTGAGAAGACAGGATGGTACTGTCCCGAGCCCCACACTCGCAGTCATGTCACCTAGATCCTGAAGTGTACCTCATAGGCAATGGGAAGCACTAGACGATGCCAGGCAGTCAGGTAGTCAGGGTCACCTATTTGGGATCCATTCCAGGCCACGTTGACAGTGAAGCCCAAAGCGGGGGCCTGGCCAATCTGGTTGCTTGCACCTTCATTCCCCATGGGGAAGAAGGTGCCACGATCATAGCGGTGAAGTGATATATAGAGCACACTACAGGGTGGGGGAAGGAAGGCAGGGCTAGTTAGTGGCTGCCTTGACTAAAGAAGTGCCCAGGATGCCTGAGGCAAGGCTCACCTACTTCCCTGGCCATACTCCTGCCTCAGTCCCTCACCTGGGGTCGTCCTCAAACATGTGTTGCGTTCCATTACCATGATGGATATCCCAATCCACAATCAGGATCCTGGGGGAGAGGAGACAGCAGTTTAGTAACCCAGGACACAGCCCCTGGGAGAAGCTGAGGCAACACCCTGGGCCGGCCCGGGTATTTAGTGCTGGTGGCAGGCCTGGGTCCTACCAGTGTGAAAGCCAGATGCTGGGTCTTGAAAGCTTCACTCTGGGCTAGAAGAAGTGCTGAGGGTTAGATCCTGGGTTCTGCCTGATAAGTGCTAGGGGTCAGTCCATTGGGCCCTGAAGCCTGTTTTATACACACCAGGGTGCCCTAACTTGGGATCCAATGTGGGAAAGCACTGAGAGGTTAGATCCTTGGTCCTTGTAGGGATAGTGCAAAATGGGTCAGCCTTTTTGTTGTTTGGGGGGAAATTCTGGGAGTGACACCACACAGAGTAGCTGGCCTGCTACGATGGTGAAGGGAGGGGTTGCCAGGTCCCACTGAAGGCCAGGATTCTGGGGTCCCTAGAGAGCTCTCTGGTATAGTGATTATAAGTTGGGTTGCTAACTACAAGGTTAGCAGGTCAAAACCAATAGCCGCTTCTCGGGAGAAAGACGGGACTTTCTACTCTGTGAAGAGTTAGTCTTGGAAACCCAAAGGTGCAGTTCTATAAGGCCTGTCCTATACCGTCACTAGGAGTCAGCACTGACTCCAGGTCAGTGAGTAGTGTTAGAGTCCTCACCGCAAAGCACGCCCACTGATGGCCTGGGCATGGCGAGCAGCCACAGCCACAGAATTGAAAAAGCAGAAACCACAAGCAGCATCCCGCTCGGCATGGTGTCCTGGAGGGCGCACCACAGCTGTACCATTTAGAACCTGGGAGAAGAGCAGCAAGCTGAGGTTAACCATCACTCCCTCTTTCTTCTCCTCTCCCCGATCTCCTGTCCCCTCCACCAGCTGCTATGCATCTCTCTCTCCTGACTCCTGACCCAGCCATGCACTCTCCATCTCGTATAGGTGCACCTCTCTAGTAAGCAGAGGAGTCCCTTCCTTTTCCAGGCCCCTCCTCATACCTCTTTTTTAAAAAAATCAATTTATTGGGGCTCATACAATTCATCACAATAAATAGATCAATTGTGTAAAGCACATCTATACATTTGTTGCCCTCATTATTCCCAAAATTCGCTTTCCCCTTGGGTTCCCGGAATCAGCTCATTTTGCTTTTTTCCCCTCCCCTCCCCTTCCTCCTCCCCTCTCCCCCATGCACCCTTGATAATTTATAAATTATTATTGTATCTCTCATACCTCTTTTTTTCTTACCCATGCCCAAATCTCCCAGAGCACCTCCTACCTATTCCCTGAGGACGTCCCCTCTTCCAGCCTGTAGCCCACCCCACAAAGGACATACCTTTCCAGCGAGCACAGCCTCCACTAGGTGGCAGACTGAGCCAGTGGCGAGCTGCGCACAGGTGAAGGTGCTGGGGCAGATATAAATGGAGTCATAGTTGGAGGCCTCCCGGTGTAGCTCACGGGGTTTCATCTTCTCTGTGGCCCTCAGATGAGTGATGTACTCAGCACTGGACGCACAGAGAGGGGCACAGGTTTACACTGAGGGGGTTCCAGTCCTGTGTGCTCAGCCCTGCCCTGTGTCTAGCTCGAGGCGTGGGAGAAAGGGGTCCTGACCTGTGGCAGGTGAGCAGCTCAGCATCTGTGGCAGGGCGCGCAGGCAGGGTGAGGCAGCGCTCACTGAGGCCCCACTCTTCCAGATGGCTGGCAATTCTCGAGATGCGCTGGGGCTTCTCAGGGTGGTAGCTGAGGGCAGGAGGAAAAACAGGTGGGGGAGGGGCTAAACCCACTTATCCTGGCCCTCAGACTACATACTTGTCCTTTAAGTTATAGTGACTCATCATGCGCTGGTCATAGATTAGTCCTGTGCGAGCCTGCAGCACTGGCCAGGTCAGGATTTGGGGGGCAGCAGGCTCCAATGGGTCAACATCTTTGGCCATCTCCTCGTCTTCCTTGAGGGTCACAGCTATGAGAGAGGTCACATTCACTTTAATGTTTCTACCTGGCCTGACAGCAGGATCCAAAGAGAAAAGGACCCGGTTTCTCCACCACCACACCACCACTCACTTCATGCCAAACCCTTCACACCAAGCCCACTTCCTACCGGCTTGCACCAGGACCTGCCAGAAAGGCTCCAGGGCTATCAGAGTGCAGGAGATTGAATTTCGGGCACTGGAGGGAGGGAGGGAGGCAAAGAATGGATGCAATGATCCTGGTGGAGGTGTGGGGAGCTGTGACACCCTACTCACCCACTTCTCCATCTAGGCTCACCTTATGCAGGGGGCACCAAGTGACTCCAGTATAGGACACGGGTCTCCCAGAAGGGTGTGGAGGGAGGCACTAACACCCTCAGCCAGGGAGCGACAGTTGTAGCCACCCTGGAAGGAGTTGTGCAGGAGTCAGGAGAGGACCGGACTTTCTCGGGGGAATAATGTTGAGTGTTCACATAATGTCAAGCAACAAGGAATTTAGAAGGTGACACAGCCAATTCATTTATTGGATAAGAACCGAAGGCAACTGCTAGAAACATTATGGCTGCCTCAAATTAAAAAAAAAAAAAGGTGAAGCACAGAGTGAATTGAGTTTTGGCAGGTTAGAGAGCTTGTAAGTAGAAGGGCTGGGGTTGAAAGCCCTACTTGGCCTAGAAAGTCTGGTTCTAAAGTGCTCCAGAACCCATAAGTCAAGACAAAAGTGGTGGTGACAGGGCAAGCTGTAGACACGATGTGTCACTTACCTCCAGAGACAGGATCAGCTTGCCTCCGGCCAGACCCATGAGCAGGTGGGTTAGGTGGGCGAACCCTGCTGGAGTGACCGCCATCTTGCCCTGAGGGGCAGGAAGGGTCAGCCTGACTCCAGGAAACCCTGCTGCCTACCTGCCAGCCCAGGAGCCTGCCTTACCTTGGGGTCCCCTTGGAGAGCATCATAGCCAGCAGCCACCAGGACCAGCTCAGGCTGGAACTGAGGAGAAAAGGAACTACATGAGGCCTAAGCCCTCATGGCCCATCCTTCCCCATTGCCCTGACCCGAACCAATCTCAGCTCCCCAGGACCTCGAAGGCGACCGGCAGGAGAATGTGCAGGAACGCAGCAATGTAGTCGGCATCCCGCATCCCCACCTGCAGAGGCACAACAGGTTCCATCAGCTGTTAACTTACGCTGGACTGGCTACAGGGTGGAGTAGGCATGGCTGTGAGGGCAAAAAGGGTGTGTCAACGCTGACCTGGTTCCAACGCACATTAATGTTGTATCCTTGGCCTCGGCTGGAGCCTGTGGCTGACCAGTTAGAGGCCTTCAGGTGAGGTGAGAACTGGCCATGCTCATAGCGGTGGATGGAGAAATAGAGGACGCTGGAAGCAGAGAAAAAAGAGGTGAGGCATAATCCACAGCTTCCCATGGTTCATTCATCACTTGTTTCCCCAATCAAGCACTCCATTTATCGCTCTTGCTAATCAGTACATCTATCTATTCATTCTTTTGTTCATTCACCCCTCCATTCAATCACCAATTTATTTATTTTCAGTCATCAATTCTTCCATTCATTCATTCATCCACTACCTCACTCAGTCATCACTCAAGCTTCCACCTCACCACTGCCCTGTCCCCTTAGTGTTCATCTGACTGTATGCTCAGCTCCCAGATGTTGAGAACTTTGGGGTCCCAGTCCCCAAGAGTGTCTGACCTTGCAAGGGTCTCTAGATCATGCTTGCCTGAACACTTGGCCCTGTAACCAAGATGGTAACAGCCTATAATGTTGGAGACCCACAGGGGGCATGAGGCTCTTGGGGGTGAAACTTGGGTCTCTATGTAGAAAATGGTGGGGAAGCAGGGGATTTGAGGCTATCATAGGGCAGTGAAGAGGTAGATCCATCTCTCCAATACTTTACAGATCTCTTTTGCTATTTCTTCATTTTATAGGTAAAATACAAAACAAAGATAGCACGGTAGAGTTCTGTTGGAAAGCTCTGAGTTAGGGAAACAAAATGAAGATATTTCATTCAACTACTCATCAAAATCATCTATTCATCTACTACTTGCCTTGTTCCAGAAAAAAAAAATTACCGGTAAATTGAGGTTTTTTTCTATTTTATTGTTACTATTGTTAGCTTTTGTTTGTTTGTTTGTTTTTGTATGTTTTGGGGGTATGTGAAATCTAAGATGGGTGAATCTACAGACAGTAACTGGATTTATGGCTTCTTGGAGGCATGACAGGGAAGGCTGGGGGAAAAAAGGGGGCTAATACCAAGGAGTACAAGGAAGAATAAAATGTTCTGAAACTGTGATAATGACTGTACAATTCTTCTTGATATGATTGAACTATTGGATTGTACGATATGTGCCAATAAAATGGTTTAAAAAATCTGGTATAAATTCTAAGCTTTTTTGGTGGTAGTAAGTTACTATCAGTGGAAGACAAATAAGAGTAGAACATAAAAATATCATCAGGGGGCTAAAGAAATAAAGAAAAGATTTAAAGAAAGACAACCTCACAAGAGTGTCACCAGAGTTAAACTGCAACAGCAGTAAGATCCAAGGACACTAAGTTCATAAAGCTAACAGAAGGGGATTTTAACATCAGTTCAACTGAAGAATGGTTGGTTGACAGCACAGGTTTACCTCCTCTCCCTTCCACAATCACAGACAAATGATGGCAAACGAATTTTAAACAAGTAGCAACCCAGAAAGACAAAGAGAATGAAGGAAAAGATATCCGACAATGCGAGACTTCAGTATCTCTGGGATGTAGAAAGCCCCAGGACTTTGAGGCACTAAATTAGCGGTTCTCAACTTTTGGGTCGCAACCCCTTTGGGAGTTGAACGACCCTTTCACAGGGGTAGCCATATTCATAACAGTGCAAAACGACAGTGATGAAGTAGCAAATAATTTTGTGTTTGGGGGTGGTGGTCGTCACATGAGGGACGTGGCAGTAGGAAAGTTGAGAACCACTGCACTAGATGAACCAGGGAATGGGGCAACAAACACATGGGATATGAAACCCTCAGGGTCCCTCCTTTCCCTACCTTCAAGATGGCCTGAATGGCTTAGACAATAAATACAACACCTGTGAATATTATGATGCTTTAAAAAAATCATGTTAGTTTCCACAACACAACACAGAAGAACTAGATGATACCTGGCTACTGCTATGAAATGCTCTGAAAAGAGTCACATTAGAAGGTCCTGGATAGAATGAGAGAAACACGTTGAACAGAACTCAAAATTTTAAAAAATAAGGCTTATTGGTAGTTCTGCAACTGGTGCGACCACCTAAACTATGGCTCTTAGTCACTCTTCTGATCTGGAACTAAGCTCACCCTTGTGTTAGAATAATCAACAAAAGGGCAGCATATACCCAAGGATATACGCAATTGCACACTGAGGGGACTGAAATGGATGAGTTGAAACAAAATGTGTATAAATTGTTGAATGCAAAATTCATGATCTGCTCTGTAAACTTTCACATAAATCAGAATAGAAAGTTTTAAAAAACCATCTATATGAGACCAAATGGTCAACAATTACTCTAAACCAAGAGGAAAAAGATGTAAGCGGGCAAGGAAACGAGATGACTCAAACAGAACAGCCAGAATGGTATTAATGGGAATGTAATTTACTATGTAGACTTTCACCTCTAAAAACCAACAAATATACATATTTTTAAAAAAGATGCTGGTGTAAGGTTTTTTCTTTGGAGAAATCAGGCATTGCATTGTATGCTAAATCAACACTGAATAGCCCATTTTGAATTACCAGGCCACCAATTTTGTTTCCCTACTTAGTCTCAGTTTAAGGAGCCCTGGTGCCGCAGCAGTAACCAGTGGGTAACCAAATCATCGGAGGTTTGAACTCGCCAGGTGCTCCATGGAGAAGAAACCTGGCGATCTGCTCTCCTGGAGATTACAGCCTAGAAAAAAACCTCTATGGACTTCTGCTCTGTCCTAGAGTGTCATTACGAGTTGGAATCACAGCACACAACAACAGTTGTAGCTTACGTGCGCTATCTTTATAACAACATTTTCAGATGGCACAGTCTCTAAGGAGCCTGGTGGAATAATGGGTTACTTGATTGCTAATCACAGGTCAGTACTTCAAATGCACCAGTTAGTCGATCCACAGAAGAAAGATCAGGCTGTCTCCTCAAAGCCTTGGAAAACCTATCAAGCAACTCTACTCTGTCCTTGCAGGGCTGTTAAAAGTCAGAATTAACTTAAAGGCAGTAGGTTTGATTTGGGAAACTGTCTCTACCCCCAAACCCTGTTAGAAGAGGAGTTCCGAGACTAAAGGGCATGGATTTTTCACTTCAGAGTAATGTATTAAACATCTTCATTAATTCTTACTCATCAATAAAGTATCCAAAAGAAGAACAAATGCTTCAGTGTATTCATTAGAAAAAAAAGTTCTTAGTAATTTTCTTCCACATGGTATAGTGGTCATTCTCTTCTCTTTTGTCCTGAACTATTTGGTTGGAGGTATTTCTGAAACTACATGGTCATTGCATATATGTTGATTACAAGAAGAGTAACAATGAACGTCTATATATCTTTAGGAAAAAATCGGTTAAGAACCCATACTGTCAACAGTTAATTTTGAGCTGACCGGAACTCCTAAGAGACTCAGACGTCTTTAGACATGTCTGTATTTTTTTGAACACATACCGGTAATTTACAATACTGTAAATGATGTAATTTGAGGTTCACCCCAGTGTCGGTGAACAAGGCCCCCAAATATTTGTCAGCTTAAGTTATGTCTCTATCACTTTCCCTATGGGTAGGCTCTTAACTTGTGAGCCTCAGTTTCCTCATCTGTGAAATAGGGAACCCAACAACCCCTGCCTTATAGAGTGATAGTAAGAGAGACTTTAGAGAGACTACTAGCAGAGATTCTGTGACTGCCTTTCCTTTCTTTCTGTCGTAGACTCCTCCTAGGCTGGGACCCTTGAGAAATAGTGGCTGAGAGTCTAGCATCTGCAGTTAGTCTTGAAGCATACCTGGGGTCCTCCTCAAAGGTGAACTGTATTCCTTGGCCATGGTGTACATTCCAATCCACGATAAGGATTCTGTGAGCCAGGAGAGAGAGGACACTGTGTAAGGGGATCAAGGTGAACTCGAAGGAAAAGCCCAGACATGATACCATATCCCAGGCCACCCCCATAAGTGCCAGGCTGCTGCTGACCTTGGAACACCATACTTCTCCTGAGCGTAGCGAGCAGCCACAGCCACATGGTTGAACATGCAATACCGATCCATACGACTGTGCTGGGCGTGGTGTCCAGGAGGCCTGGGGAGAATAGAAAAGGCCACAAATGGGGGTAGGGTTTCTCCTTTCCTCCTCTTTAGATGCAGATTCTCCCCTAGCTCCCTAATCCTGGACTTCCAACTCCTTAAAAGACAACAAATCTGCTAAGCACTGACTAACTGGGACCTGTGAACCCTCATTGCCTCCAATCTATACCTCTTTCTACAAGGGAGATTTTCCAGAGTTCAAATGGTAACTGCACACACACCTTCACCCCCGATACCCATTCATCCTACCTCTGGGGATTTAGTCAAAGACCTAAACAACAAAAATTGAGAAATAACAAGTTTCTAAGTGTCTAATGCTGCAGAATGAAAACAAAAACAAAAACAGATGATGGAAAGAATCAAAGTATCTGGTTCTGGGGGCTAGTTAAATGTTTGTACAATGTTGTGAATGAGGGGGAGTGCAGAGTGGGGACCCAAAGCCTATCTGTAGGCAACTGGACATCCCCTTATGGAAGGATCACGGTGCCATGTCAGGGTGCCATGTGGCAACAATGAAACATACAACTTTCCTCTAGTTCCTAAATGCCCCCCCCCCCCACCATCATGATCCCAATTCTACCTAACAAATCTGGCTAGACCAGAGGATGTACACTGGTACAGATAGGAACTAGAAACACAGGGAATCCAGGAAAGATGATCCCTTCAGGACCAGTGGTGAGAGTGGCGATACCAGGAGGGTGGAGGGAGGGTGGGATAGAGAGGGGGAACCCATTACAAAGCTCTACATATAACTTCCTCCCTGGGGGATGGACAACAGAAAAGTGGGTGAAGGGAGACATCGTACAGTGTAAGATATGACAAAAATAATAATTTATAAATTATCAAGGGTTCATGAAGGAGCGGGGAGCGGGGATGGAAGGGGAAAAATGAGCTGATGCCAGGGACTTATGTGGAGAGCAAATGTTAGGAACAATTGTGAGGATGCCGCAGGATCGAGCAGTATTTTGTTCTGCTGTGCATAGGGGTTTTATGGTTCAGAACCGACTAGATGGCACCTAACAACAACAGTGTTGCAGTGGTTAAGTGGTCAGATGCTAACTAAAAAGTCCATGATTCGAATTCATCAGGTGCTCTGCAAGAGGAAAATGTGGCAGTCTGCTTCAGTCAACGTGGACAGCCTTGGAATCCCTATGGAGTAGTTTGAATCTGCATTGCATGGTCACTATGAGTCAGAATCGACTCAATGGCAATAGGGTTTTTTGTGTGTGTGTGTGGGGGGGGGAGGACTGATATAAGCTAAGCTTTCCAAGATGTGTAAGTGAAAAGAGCACAGTATGAAAAAAAGAGTGTGTCTAGGGCTTCTATTTGTTCTTGATAAAAGGGGAGGGAGTGAAAGGATACTCTGACTGCATCACATCAGCTCTGGGATGCCAACAATTAAAAGATGTACCATGACAAGGAAGGGGAAAAAAGAAAAGAAAAAAAAAGACATGGGTACCAGGGGAACAGGGCACTAACCCACCCAGGGGGGAGGATATCTCCACAGGGAAAGAGAGACCAGACTTCAACCCGGTGCTCCAAGACACGAATGCAACATGCCAGCATGAAGCAGAGAACCAATAGAGAGGTCTGAGGGGCCGGCCTCAATCCCAACTTTGTGGACAGACCCACTTCCCCGCAGAAGAATTTACTTCAGAGGACAACACTGAAGCTACAGCTCAGGGAGAGGGACATGTCTGATCAGAGCACACAGGAGCAAATGAAGGGGGAGGAAGAGAGTGGAACACATCCTGGCCCACCAAGCCCTGAGGATGACATCCCCGCTCAGAGTAGCCAAAGCATAGAGAGGCCCATAGGGCCAGCCCCACTATGAGACAGGACGTCTCTCGCTGATCCATAGGGCTACGGGGGACAGCACTGGAGACAAAGTGCGGGAATTGCGCCCGATCTGACCCCACCATGAGGAGGTAAAACACTAAGGGTATGTAACAGAATAGCAAGAGGAACAGAGCAACGAAGTCCCCAGGGAATACCAAAAATAGGCTTTGGGGCCATGTCATGACACCCCATCAGACTCAACCAGCAAACACTCCTAAAGGTCAACAAACAGATCTTGAACTATTTACAGCTTGTCTATTTTTTGTCGTTGGTTTTTGTTGCTATTGTTTTGTTTTCCTTTGGTGCTTTGTTTTCCTCTGTCTTGTTTTTGTGCATATTATTATCTCTGCAGGTCTATCTAGATAAGATAGGCGGGATAAACAAGCTGAAGGAGAAAACAGGACTGATGTTCTGGGGGGACACGGGAGAGGGGGAGGCAGGGGAAAGGAAGTGGGTGTTAACAAACCCAGAGACAAGGGAATAACAAGTGATCCAAAATCAATGGCGAGGAGGGTAGGAGGCCTGGTAGGGACTGATCAAGGGCAATGTAACCGAGAGGAATTACTGAAACCCAAATGAAGGCTGAACATGAAAGTGAGTCAAGAGGAAAGTAAAAGGAAAGAGAGGAAAGAACTAGGAGGCAAAGGGCATTTATAGAGGTCTAAATACAGGCATGTGCATGTGTAAATATATTTATATATGATGTTGGGGAAACAGATCTATGTGCATATATTTATAGGTTTAGTATTGAGGTAGCAGATGGACCTTCGGCCTCTACTCAAGTACTCCCTCAATGCAAAAACACTTTGTTCTATTAAACTGGCATTCCATGATGCTCATCTTCCTGACACTATCACTGAAGACAAAACGGGTGAATAAGCAAATGTGGTGAAGAAAGCTGATGGAGTCCGGCTATCAAAAGATATAGCGCCTGGGGTCTTAAAGGTCTGAAGGTAAACATGCGGCCATTGAACTGAGAAGCAACAAAGCCCACATGAAAGAAGCACACCAGCCTGTGTGATCATGAGGTTTCAAAGGGATCAGGTATCAAAGAACAAAAAAATCACCATTGTGAATGAGGGGGAGTGCAGAGTGGAGACCCAAAGCCCATCTGTAGGCAACTGGACATCCCCTTACAGAAGGGGCACGGGGAGGAGACGAGCCAGTCAGGGTGAAGTGTAGCAACGATGAAACATACAACTTTCCTCTAGTTCTTTAATGCTTCCTCCCCACCCCCACTATCATGACCCCAATTCTACCTTACAAACCCAGCTAGACCAGAGGATGTACACTGGTACAGATCAGAACTAGAAACACAGGGAATCCAGGATGGATAAAATCCTCAGGACCAATAATGAGAGTAGAGACTTCAAGAGGGGAAGAGGAAGGTGGGGGAGAAAGGGAAAACTGATCATGATGATCTACATATAACCCCCTCCCTGGGGAACGGACAACAGAAAAGTGGGTGAAGAGAGATATCAGACAGTGTAAGATATGAAAAAATAATAATATTTATAAATTATCAAGGGTTTGTGAGGGAGGGAGGGAAGGGAAAAAAATGAGGAGCTGATATCAAGTAGAAATATTTTGGGAATGACGATGGCAACAAATGTACAAATGTGCTTGACACAATGGATGAACGTATGGATTGTGATAAGAGTTGTACGAGCCCCCAATAAAATGATTTTTAAAAAGATGTACCATGATTTCAAATGCCAAGAACAAAGGATAAAATGCTGTCGATTAAATGTTGAGATGCCATTGTTTGTAAGAAACCCCAGGATTTCGAGATGTTAAAAAAAATAGGGAAAAAATGTATTATCTTAGAGTCAGTGACAGGTAGTATTTATTTCTTGGCAAAGGGAGACTGCTCTAGGAAGCAATATGAATCACTAGTTACAAGGACTACCTCCCACTAGAGGAAGTAGGTGCCTAGGTAGGGGTGGGAGAGAGAGATTTTTCTTACATACTCTTTAGTATAATTTTTAAAAATATCATTTGATTTTTGAGCCATGAGAGTGTCTTCCTCATGCCAGTATATTTTAAATTTGAGATAAGGCACTTTTTTAAAAGGTAAAGAGCTAAATAGCAACGTTTCCTACCTGATGATGGCCATGCCATTTCGGACTTTTGCCTCCAGAACTGCATCCACCAGCATGAGGACAGAGCCAGAGGCCAGGCAGGTAGAGGAGTATGATTTCTGCAGCGACAGTGGGGAGCCAGAGAGGGCATGAGGGCGAGGGCAGGCTTGTCCACTTGGCTGATTTCATGGGAAATAGAGGGAAGTGGGGCCCCAGGATCATATGGACATGGGGATAAGGGTGTCCCACTCCCTGTTCCCCGAGAACTTATCCATACTGGATGCAGAAAAACTGAATCATAAGTGTCTGCTAGGGCACGGAGTTCTGCCTCATTCATGTGCTGGGTTGACTCCATCAGATCAACGTATTCTTTGCTGGGGAAACAGATAGGGGATGTGATTCAGGAGCAGGTTTCACTCATTGGTCCTGAAGTGGGGAATTGTCCCCATCGGAATCCTCCACACATCAGACCCCTTGTCAAATTAGCTACTTTCCTTCCAACTGTCAAGCTGGGGAATCACTGAGGTAAAGGACATATTCCTTCTTATCTAGGCCACCTCATTTCCTCTAATAGCTTTTGTACCTGGCTCTAGCCACACTAAATTTTACCTGCAGGCCTTTGGCCATAATGTTTCACCTGCCTGTACTTTCCTTCCCTCTCAATTCTCCTCTTTATCTGACTCACCCCTTCTCTTACAACTCAATTCAGATACCCTCCTCTGCCAAACCAGCTTTCCTTGAAACCCATAGCACCAGCCCTCTTATTCTGGGCTCCTGCTGCCTTCTGTGGGTACAGGCTGATGACTGTTCACATATCCACCAGGTTTTTACAACCAGGTAATAATAACAACAGTTTATGAGTTGATGATATGTCAGGCAGTGTTCAAAGTCCCCGAGTACACACTAAAGGCCTCATGACATGAGTAATGACATTGAGATTCAGACAGGCTTAGCCACATAGCCTATGATATTCATTTTGAAAGTAATCAGCCAACCTGGTCAGCCCACCCCAGTTCTACAAGGCTCCTAAGCCCTTACCTGTGAACCAGCATCAGTTCCTTCTTTTGGGCAAACCGGGCCTGAGGAGACATGAGGAATAAATGGCTAAGAAACAAGGCAGGCTCAGGTCCCACCAGTGCCCTGCCCTGTATCCAGGAGTTGGCTGTTAAGATTCACCTGAATGGAGATACAGCGATCCAGGAGGCCTTCCTGGGTCAGCTGCTCCTTGATGGCGTAGAGCCGCTTAGGGCTTTCAGGGAAACTGGGGAGAGAGAGATACATGTACACGTGTGTGCGCATGCGCAGGGTTGTGTATCTGCACGAAGCTGCCTCAAAGTGTTACAAAACAGTCATGGGAACTAAAAGAAACATTCTTTGAACTCAAAATCATAAAAGAGACAAGGCTTTCCAGCTGGATAGAGACTAGTGAGAAACACCCACCCCCTCACCAATACTCGAGCCCTTAAGTCACCCTTCTGGTCTGAAACTAAACTCAGTACATGTTTGAATCACCAACCACTTAAGATCAAATGGGCAGCATTTATCCAAAGACAAAGTTTGGAGTGTTAGAGAAGGAAGAGGAATGGAAACAGGAAACACAGAGAAGGCGAATAAGTGATGGTACATTGAGGGGATTGCCCTGGATGCTCTGTGTAAACTTTTATTAATTCACAATAAAAAGTAAACATTGGGGGGCAGAGGAAGGGAGGGGGGGCGGAAAAGGAAAATGAGCTGATTCCGGGAACCTAAGAGACAAGCGAATTTTGGGAATGATGAGGGCAACAAATGTATAGATGTGCTCTACACAATTGATCTATGTATTGTGATGAATTGTATGAGCCCCAATAAATTGATTTAAATAAATAAAAAATAAAACATTGTAGGAAAAAAAGAGTAAACATTAATAAAAGGAACATTCTTTGGCGGTTGCTGTGGGTAAGAAGGAAAGAAAGGATAATTTATTGGAGGGTAGCACAGAGTAGATATATTTTAAGTTGGGTGAAGAGGAAGGCAATATGCAATAAGAGGGAGGTCAGCCAAAAAAATTTGTGGTGATTACCATGTATGTATAACTACTTCAATGTAAAACTGATTTGCTCTATAAATCTTCACCCAATTCACAAAAAGTTGGGGCGAGGAGTACGTAGAAAAAATGGAATGGAAAGAATGCAATTTTTCAATGAATTTTTGAAATTAGATAGACATATACAGAGAGTAAGAACTGCCTCATAGTGTTTCTAAGGTTATAATCTTTTTTTTTAAGGTTATAGTTTTTATAGAAGCAGACAGTCACATCTTTCTCCAGTGAAGTGGGTAGTGGGTTTGAACCATAGACCTCTGAGTTAGCTGCAGCAGAGTGCTTAACTACTACCAAAACTTAAAAACTGATTGCACAACTGTTTTTGATGTGATTGAACTACTGAACTGTACGATATGTAAACTACATGCCAATAAAACGGTTGGGGAAAAACCACACACATCTGCCATCAAACTGTTGGGAAAAACAACAACTCACTGTCATCAAGTCAATTCTGACTCCTAGTGACTCTAATAAAAGGACAGACTAGCACTGCCCTGTAGGTTTCTGAGACTATAACTCTTTACGGAAGTAGAGAACCTTATCTTTCTCTCTTGGAGCAGCTGGGTTCCAACTGCAACCCATCGTGTACCCACTATGCCACCAGGATTCCTTTAACTACAACCAAGGCTTCAGATCTATCTAATCCAAATTCATCCATCTATGATGTCCACCAGCCCTGCTCCTGCCATCTAGCTCCATCTAGCCTGCTCCTGATTCTTGTGGTTTCCAACCTCAAAATACTCTCCAGAGTTTGATGTTTTCCTCCTCACCTCCACTACTACACTACTACTACGATCTGGGCTAGGGCAGTAATCACACTGCTGCCCTCCTTTGCTCCCCAGCAGTCCTTTCTCCACACAGCAGCCAGAGACATCAATTAAAACCCCAATCCTTTATTTGAAGTCCTCCTGTGGCTCCCACGATGCTTCGGAAGACCCCACACAATGTCCTCCTCTCTGACCCCATCTCCCTTCCTTCCCTCTCATCACTGTCTTCTCTGCTCCTAAATCAAATCAAGTATTCACCTGCCTCAGGGACTTTAGTAGTTGCTCCAGCCTGGAACATTCTTCTCCCAGTTGTATGTATGGCTCACACCTATGCCTCCTTTGCATCTTACTAATTATTCTATTTAACCCCAAAGAATTCTCTCCTCAGCACTTTTTTTTTTAACATTTTATTAGGGGCTCATACAACTGTTATCCCAATCCATACACACATCAATTGTGTAAAGCGCATTTGTACATCGTTTCTACCTCAGCACTTTTTACTACCCTCCCTTCCATTTTATTTTCCACTGAACTTCCCTTTCTACCATTCTATGCAATTTATTTTTTTTGCTTCATTTTGGTTTGCTATCTTCTAAAATGTAGTCCCCATGAGGCAGGATGGTTTAATTTTTTACTGCTGTACCTACTTCTCCTCTGTAGATGCTGAATATTTATTCAATAAATGAAAGGCTTACAGTTTTTGTCATTCCTATATGGTAAGTAAAGACACTTAATGGGTAAACACATAAATAAAATCATTTTAAAAAACTACTTAAGGCCTTGAGTATCTAAAACTAGGTGAAGGGTAGGGTGGTAACCATCATCTGAATGAGAGTCAAATGATGAATAAACATTAGTTGAGAAAGAATACAAAAAAGAATCTCTGGAGATAGAATTACCTGGCAAGTTTGAAAAACAGCTAGGGGGGGCCCAAACCACTACTCACTGATGGTGATCCTATAGGACAGGGCCCAACTGCCCCTATAACTCTTTATAGGAGTAGGAAGCTTCATCTTTCTCCTTGGAGAGGCTGGTAGTTTTGAACTGCTGACCTTGTGTTTAGCAGCTCAATGTGTAACCCACTACACCATGAGGGCTGCTAGCAAGTGGACCTGTGTAGATGAAGTGAAGGGAAGGATGGACAGGAAGGTAAATGATGAGATTACAAAGGTGATGTGGGGCCAGGTCACGTGGAAGCTTAGAGGCCAATATGAAGAATTTGGACTTTATCTTGAGGACAACAGTTCACATTTCAGGAATTTTTGGAGAAAAGAAAAAAAAAGAGCATGGCATCTAAAGTTGCTGTGTGGAAAACAAAGTGTAAGAGGAAGGGCAGAAGCAGATGGGCCGGTAAGGAGACCTCTGCAAGAGTCTAGGTGAAAGATGACTGTGAAGGCAACAGAAGTGGTGAGGAGAGGGGAGATACTGAATACATAAAGGTTGAGCTTAGAGTCAATAAGGATTTACTGATGGATTACAACAAGTATGAAAGTAGAGTCTATGTGCGGTGTAACTCTTCACCTTCCGTACAAATGTTCTTGCCTCAGAGAAGGAACCCCAGGCTTCTCTCTTATTTGCCATCCAGTCAATTCCGACTTACAGCGGCATTACAGAGCAAAGTAGAACTGCCCTTTTGGGTTTCTGAGACTTTAAATCTTTACAAATTGGAGAATGTTTGGTTGTGTATATTTTTGCCACAACAAGGAAGAAAATATTCTAAAATTTGTGATAACTATACAACTCTGCTTGATATGACGGAACTACTGAATTGTATATGTGGATGAAGTGCCACTAATACTGTTAAAAACAAAATCCTCTTTCTCCCGCAGAGTAGCTGGTTGTTTGAACCACTGACCTGTGGTTCGCAGCTTAATGTGTAACCCTCTATGCCACTAGAGCTCCTTGGCTGCTAGTTTAGGGTCTTCTATTAAACACTCTTGAATCCCTTAGTCTTAAATTCTCCTTCATTAAACACTTCATACTGCTGTTGGGTATTTAATGGTCAGCTGTGCTACTCTGCTGCCAGTTCCCTGAGGTGGGACCCTGTCTTGTCCATATATGAATTACCAACTTCTGGTATACTACTGGTCAATGACAAATCACGGTGATCCCATGTGTTTTGGAGTAGAACTGTACTCCACAGGGATTTCAATGGCTGATTTTTTTCAATATAGATAGATCATGAGGCCTATCTTTCTAGACACATTGGGGTGGTCTCACACCCTCCAACCTTTCCTCAGCAGCTGAGCTTAACCATTCACACTAGCCAGGGGCTCCCTTCAGGCACACAGTAGGTGCTGAAAAGAACCCTTTCAAGTCAAAGTTCAGTCACTCACTCAGTGCTGAGTCAATTCAGATGCATAGCAGCCCTGGTGGTGTACTGGGTTGTGTGTTGGGCTGCTAATCACAAGGTTATCAGTTCCAAACTACCTGCTGCTCTGAGGGAGAAAGATGAGGCTCTCTGGAAAATCACGGGGGCAGTTCTACTCGTCCTATAGGGTCACAATGAAGTCCAAGTTATACTTCCCTAAATTATCTGCTTCCCGTTTCCTGATTGCCCTAAGAAAGGGTTCCTTCTAGAGTGTTTGTAGGGACCACTTAGAGGACCCAGCCTCACCTGTCATCCCAGAGGCAGTAGAAGTCATTGAGCTGCTCATCAAACACCAAGCCTGTGTGAGACAATGCTTTTGTCTCACGGTTCAGATCCTGCAGGGATGGGGTGGAGGGGCAGAAAAGATATCCAATTAGAGCCTGAGCCCAAGGAAACAGCCTAGAGTGTCCAGAATTGGGCACCTCAGGCTTCTGGTTGTCATTGGAAACTAAACCCTGGGGAGGCCCCTCTCACCAGCTCTTCCAGCCCTGAGATTAAATCCTGCCCTGTTGCTTGGCTGAGCTTCTTCATTCTGCCTTTCTTCTTTACCTCAGCTAGACTAAGGCTGGAGGGAACTGCAGCATCCGTCTTAACAGTTCGCATCTGTTAAACAGAAAGAAGGGTCAGAGTCCATGAGGCGGCCAGCAGCTCATCTTGCCTCCCACCCCAGGGCAGGTCTGGGGCCTCACCGTGGTGTCCTCGCTGGAGCTGTGGGGAGGCGAGGCTGGGGGCTGCCTACTCCTTAGCTGTCTGGTTGAGGTGGAATCCTGGCCTGTGGAGGTCATGGTCTGGTCAACTGAGGCCCCTACAGGGTCCTGAGGAGGAAGAAAAGTGACCATAAGGTGCGGGAGTGCCCTGAGGACACCATCCCAAGCCCCACCCCCTTAGACCAAACTGCACCCCTTAAGCTTTCCAAGTCCCTACATCTTGGAAATTCTAAACTCTGCTCGCCCCAAGGTCTGCTTCCTTCACTGGGGTATCTCACCTTTCCACTAGACTCCACCCCCTTTTAACACTACTAACTTCTTTCAAATCCTGACCCTCTCACTGAGCCAGAAACCCGACTCAGTCTGTTCTAGGGCCTGCTAATCCCTGCCCTTCCACTCTCTTAGTCCCATTTCCAGACTCTTTAAGCCTCAGCCACCCTCCACCCCTTCACAAACCTGCCCTTTCAGGCTTCTCTCTCAGGAGCATCGCCCACCCTTTCACCTAATCATACCCACCCCCTACGCAGATTCCACACTTAATGATTCATCTAATTTCACCCCTCCTCGGGGCCGAACCTTCCACTCCGCGAGACCCCACCCCCAACGCTTGCCTCAGTCCCGCCCCCTCGGAGGCCTGCCCCTCTCCCTCCTCCAGGGCCTACTCCCTGCCCGGACGCTAAGCTTCACGTCGCGCCAAACTCTTCAGTCAGAAGGGCCGCCTCCCGCTAGCCTCCGCCCCCTTCCCGCCCCACCGTCGACATTGACCAATTCTTTCGAGTCCACTTACCGAGGGCACGCCCTTTCTCAGGTCCCGCCCCCCCTTCACGCCGCCAACTTCCCGTCTGCCGGTAGAGCTGCGGGCTCCACTGTCCCCCTTTTTCATTGGGCCGGTTCTCTCAAATGTCGGCCGAGAACCGCCTACAACCGGCGTCTTCTCTGACGCCCCTCTCCTCTGATACGGCCACGCCCCTCACGCTGGCCACGCCTTCCGCGAATCCAGCGAACCCGCGCGTCCGGCGGCGCTGCGGTTCCCGTAGCGGCAGGGTAAGGCAGACGCCGACGGTTCAGTGGCAGGCTCGCGCTCGCCCCCTCCCGCTCATATACCCCTGCAGTTCTGCCAGCGGTGGCCTTTGCCCTTTGCCCCCTGCCCCTGCCCAGTCAATCACCTTAGGAACCTTTCGGCCCGCGCCAGTTGTGCCGAGTGGCGCTTCTAGAAAGCAAGCATGGCAAGGAGGGGATGGCGAAGGGTCGCGTTGCCCCTTCCCTGCCTCTTCCCGCGCGGCGCGCGGGGATGACGTAGCTAGGGCAGGCTGGCTGCCGAGCCCTGCGTGAGGTGAAGCTACACAATAGCGGATGGCGGCCAAAATGCGAATGATATTAATACACGCTGTGGGGATTTCATGAGTAATACTAAGGTAGTGCACGCGAAGCACACATCAAATGTTGGGTGCCATTAGGTTGTCAGGTGGTAGTACGTTGCTTCGAGGTACCACGACGAAACACTCCGGGGGTCCTGCGCCATCACCCCGCAATTCTTCCGCCGTCGGCTAGCTAGTAAAATAGTGTGAAAATAGGTGGTGGAGCGGAGGGATCATAGTGGGAGGAAGGAACGCCAAGGCTAGCAAGTGTTATTTGTCATTCATTGTTTAGCCACTACTTGACGAGGTAGTTCCCATTAACCCTGCTTTACAAATAGGAAACTGAGGTTACGGGTCTTGGTCATGTGACCTTGGGCAAGTCACTGAACCTCTCTGCTACAGCTTCCTCATATGGAAAATTGTGATAATAATAGTGCCTGGCCCTAGAATGGCCGTGTGTGCGCGTGCGCCCGGTGGTGGTGGTGGTGGTTGTTTGCTTGTTTATGGTTGGCAGCTCTCCCTATGTACCCCCAACCACTGGTTAGCATGGACGTGTGTGGGGGGGATGGGGATGGAGTTGTTTGCTTGTACATGGTAGGCAGCTCTCCCTATCTAGCCCCATATACTGGGTAACCTCTGTCCCCAAGCTGTAATAGAAAGTGCATGTGACTGCATGGTAGGGGGAGTTGTCCCTGCCCTCCTGCTCCCTCCCACCCAAGACTAAATATCAGCTCTGTAGGAGGCCGGTTTGTCCTTCTAATCTCCCTCTAGTTCTCCACCATTTCCTACCGGGCTGCAGGCTGGGCCCTGAGAGATAAGCGGTATGGGGTTCAGCCTCGCTGACTAACAAACAAGATTGACACCACCACCACCCTGTAGCAGAGCCATCTGACCTTCTTGAAGACCTCACTTCTAGCCTTTTTCCTATCCAAACATGTCTTTAGGGCCAGTAACAGTCGGTCACAAAATTAGGCCGACTTCCACATACACCAAAGAAACTATGCATACACCAAAAAATATACATACAATGATACACAGTAGAAGGCATTCTGAGGTTGTGAAGCCTGCAAAATTAAGAGAGTAGATTGGTCAAGGCCCAATGTTCTGTACACTCAAGAGAAAGGTTCTCATAGAGCAGTGAGTGGTTGGCAAACTTTTTTCTATAAAAGTCCAGGGTTTAGGCTTTTTGGAGACCACAGAAGGTCTCAATGATCCGCCCCTCCCTTTTTTTTTTTTTTTGCAACCCTTTAAAAATGGAAAAGCAGGATACAAGCTGGCATTGCAGTATACAGTTTACTAGCCCTGCTGTAGTGTGTCAGCCCTGTACGTTTTCCTTACCTGGCTGGGATTCTTTCATAGGTGCAAGCACAGGCCCAGGTCACTTCTAGTGTTGCTCTACTAGATCAGGCAAACACTCCTGGACAGGGAGAGCGCGCACACACACACACACTAACAACAAACTCACTGCCACCGAGTCGATTCTGACACATAGCAACCCTATAGGACAGGGTAGGACTACCCCCTGTGTGTTTCTGAGCCTGTAACTCTTTACGGGAGCCAAAACTTCATCTTTCTCCTATGGTGGTTTCAAACTGCTGACCTTTCGGATAGCAGCCCAGTGCATAACCGCTATGTCATCAGGGCTCTTGGGGAGAGCACAGAGGTTCCTATACAACAGACATTTCTAGAGAGTGCTAAACTAGAGGTCCCTTTACAAGTTACGGGTGGGGCTAGAAGACTGCAATATGACAAGTTTCTACAAAGACATCCGGGAGTCCAATGTCATAGGTTTCTGCACAGGTTCAAAGATTACATGGTGGTGGTTGCTAAGTGCCATCAAGTTGGTTCTGACTCATAACGACCTGTGTACAACAGAATGAAACACTGCCAGGTCCTCCACCAGCTTCACAATTGCTCTGATGTTTGAGCCCATTGCTGCAGCCACTGTGTCTGTCCATTTCATTCAGGGCTTTCCTCTTTGTCACTGCCCCTCTACCAAGCAGGGACAGGGAACCTTTTTTCTACCATTTAGATATGTGCAACACTATTCTCAGGCCATACTGGTCAAACATTTAATTAACTCACCCCTAATGTGATGACTTGGGAAAAAGACGGGGATTTCTACTCCTGTAAACAGTGGCAGTCTTGGAAACTCACGGGGGCAGTTCTACCCTGTCCTATAGGGTCGCTATGAGTTGGCATCGACACAATGACAGTGAGTCTTGGGTTTTGGAATGTGATGGCTGGAACTGGTGAGACATGTGACATTAGCTGATAGTGATGATTTCTCAGGCCTTATATGGCACTGGGATCAGACATTCCCCAACCCTGATATAAACAGTAAGATCGGACATTTATATCCAGATTCAGGTAAAGAAATTGTTATTAATTAGTATAAATGTGCTAGCTGCTGTAACAAGCAATCCCAAATCTCAGAGGCTTTAACAAAATAATTATTTCTCGCTCATACAAAATACAATCTATATATTTGTTATATATTTACTAGTCTATATATTTGATACACGGACCAAGGAAACTTCCATTTTGTAGCTTTGCTCTCTACCTCCTTAGAGTTCTTGCTATTCGGCTGGTAGATGGGAAAAAGAGAGAGAGGAGAATTATGGACAAGTTTTTATGGGCCAGGCTTAGAAGTGGTGTATGACACTTTTCACACTTGATTGGTCACAACGCTGTCATAAATCTACATCTAACTGCAAAATCAGACCAGCCAAACTCACTGCTATTGAGTCGATTCTGATTCATAACTATAAAAGAAGTTCAGAAAGATAGAGCAAATCCACAGATAAGGAACGGCTTTTGATGTGTCCTTGTCTGCTACAGGATTCTCTTGAGTCCATCAAGCTAGGTGGTCCAATGCTGGCCAGAAGTGGCTGTTGAACATTTGAACTATAGCTAGTCTAAATTGACGCGTGCTGTCAGTGCACAATTCACACTGGATATTGAAATCTCGTTATAAATATGTAAATATTTGACTTTTTATATTGGTTGCATGTTGAAATGATAACATTTGGATTTATAATGGTAATATTTGAAGATATTTAAAGTAAATATTTGATTTAAGTCCATTTCACTGGTCCTTTTGACATTTTTTTTAATGTGGCTACCTAAAAAGTTTAAATCACACATGTGACTCATATTATATGTCTTTTTTATTTCCATAATCCCATTTTCTTTATTTATGGGAAAATTTTCTTTAGACACTTTGTTACTTCAACTGTTTTCACATGTACAATGTATTTCATTCAGGATAACATTTTCAAGGTACATTTCATGTGATTGCATTTTATCAGATCTTTATGATTAATAATATCTTTGAGTTTAGGGGTTAGAAGGACAGTCATAAGTAATCTATACATATGGATAATAAGTATAATGGATAGTATAATAAGTAAGTTATCCACTCCTGGATTTATGTTTTTGATCTGCCTCTGGCTTCCCTTAGAGACCTCCTTGTTAATTTATGGTAGAGGATCTTATCGATCATCTCCCTGGAGCATAAGGACCTTCTGTTAATAGTATTATTGATTAGTCCCTGGTACTAATTTTTAAAAATCATTTTATTGGGGGCTCTTACAGCTCTTATAACATTCCATACATCAATTGTTTCCAGCATATTTGTATACATGTTGCCATCATCGTTTTCTAAACATTTGCTTTCTATTTGAGCCCTTGGTATCAACTCCTCTTTTTTCCCTCCCTACCTTCTCCCCCACTCATGATCCCTTGATAAATTATAAATTATTACTGTTTTTATACCTTACAGCAACCACTGTCTCCCTTCACCCACATTTCTGTTGTTCATCCCCCCTAGGGGGTGGTACTAATTTTTAAGACACTGTTAAGGGTGGGATATTGGGCCAGTGTAGACTGACTGCATATTGCAATACCTGAATTATTCCCCTGTACAGAATAAATCCTTACGTGTTTGGAGGCTACTTACACAAACAACAGGAGTTGGTTGTCAGGCAAAATTTATAATACTATTCACTGACAATGTCAATCACAGGTCTGCCGGAATAATATATATATTAAGTTAGCAAGTAGGGTATTGATGTACTGAGTCCATATTCTTCCACCAATGTTGTCCACCAATGTTTCTTCAGTACTCTTGGTATAGCTGTCTTCTGCTTCTTCAAACACTTTGAATGTTTAGTCTTAAGTCCTCAGGTTACAGGTGTATGTGAGGTAGGGTCCAGTTTACCTAGTGGAGTTTCCACATCATATCCCTCTGCTATGGTTTTTGGGGAGTGTTGTGTGTGTACAGAAACTCAGGCCAACGTGGCTTCTTAGGTGCATATTACCAGGCATACTCCTACATAGGTTCCTTAAAAGTATTGTTGGTCATCCCTCCCGCCCTCCACTTGGAAGTGGGTCCTCCCGCATTTTCTACCACAGTCATGCACTTGTGTTCTCCCAGACTTGTCTGCTCCCTTTCCCTTCTCCTGACTTGATTTTCCCATCAGTGCCCCTCATCCCTCTGATAGGGATGTCTACCTGTCCAGGGCAATCTTGGCATGACTTGACATCCCTTCCCCCTTCCTTGACAATTTGACCCC